CTTCTTTTATTCTTTGTGTCGTGGGATGCGAGGGAATAAGAGTACTAATAGATTTTAGTGCACTCAGAGAAAGCACACGACCACTTTTTTGTTTATAAAATTTTTATTAATATATTCAACAGCCTTCAGAATTGCATATAACTCGGCTGAAAAGATACTTGTATTATCTGGTAAATGAGAGTCTCTTGTTACTTTATTGAATTTAAACCCACATCCAGTTTTATTATCTAATAAAGACCCGTCAGTATATACAATATCATAATATAGGTATTTGGTGCTAATTTTTTCTTTAAACAGTTTTTTATATAATTCTTTTGAAGTATCTTCTTTTTTAAAATTACTTAAGGAAACATCAACGTTTAAATTCGTATTTAACCAATAGGGTTTTTGAATAAATTGTTGGGTATCTATATTTTTTGGTTGAATAATTTGTAAATTTTCTTTAATTCGTGCGGTCACAGGCTTTAAAACACTTCTTTTACTTATATTGTTGGTTTCTTCGTTTTTTTTCATTTCTTCGCTCAAAGGATGTGTGCCAAAGGATAATATTTTAAGACCATAAAGCATGCCCTGCATTTGACTTCTCAAATTCAATGGTAATTGTGCACTATCGACCAAAAGACTCTGAACTGGAGTAGTTCTGTAGGCACCAGTAGCAATTCTTATGCCAGTATTCAAAATCGTATCTAGAGATTTAAGCATTGTGTTACTCGCCGATCTATAAATAAAACTACCGTAGTCAATAATAGGTAGAATGAGTACGTTCAAGAGTCTTAATAACATGTTTCTATCTGACCCATACTCAGTGTGATTTAGAATTTTCAATATATTTAGACTTTTTTTGGCTTTACTTTTTATATTTTGTATATGATATTTCCAGCTGAGTTTTGTATCAAAAAGCATACCCAAAAATTTGTGTTGCAGAACATATTTTATCTTGTAATTTCCAATATATAAGTCAGGATAATAAAATTTTTTTCTTCTCTTTGTGAAAAGCATGGCTACCGTTTTGGTAGTTGAAAACTTTGAACCAGTATTTTCGGACCATAGGGAAATTTTGTTTAAAGTATTCTGCATTTTAGCTTGCATATTTTTTAAATTCTTACCGTTTAAAAATATTACCAAATCATCAGCAAATAAGGCAAATTTTACTGGTAATTCAATTTTCGATTTAATAGTGTTAATATGAATTATAAATAATATTACTGAAAGGACAGAACCTTGTGGTGTACCATTTTCAATTTCCATTATTTTTGAAGTATTTCTTGCAATATCAACCTGTATTTTTCTATTTTGTAAAAAATTGTATGTGAAAATTAACATGTTACCGGTAATACCTATATTAATCATTTCATTTATAATTCCTCTTCTCCATACCATATCATATGCTTTTTCTAGATCGAAAAAGATAGATAAAGTAAGGTCGTTTTTTGAAAATGCTTTTATTATTTCACATTCCAGATATGAAAGACTGTCCATGGTGCATCGTTTTTTTCGAAATCCAGCTTGATATTTGGTTAAAATTTCATTTTTCTCTAAAAACCAAACTAAACTTTTGGAAACCATTCTTTCTAGTAATTTGCAAATGCAGTTTGTAAGAGCTATAGGTCGATAACTTGAAACATATGTTGGATTTTTGCCTGGTTTTAAAATTGGAATAAGGATGGCTTGCCTCCATTTCTCTGGGAAAATTCCTTTTTCCCATATAGTGTTAAAAAGATTTAATAATACAAGTTTGTCATCTTCTTTTAGTTTTTTCAAAAATTCATAGTGAATTTGATCTGGTCCTGGGGAACTACCTTTGCAATCCAATAAGCTATTTTCCATCTCTTCAATAAAAAAAGGTTTGTTGTAACTTTCCTCTGAAGATAGTTTTAAGTTTAATAATGCCTTTTCTTCTTTATTTTTATGCTTGATAAATTTATCACAATAATTTCTTGTACTAGATACAGCCGAAAAATGTTCTACCAATAAATTGCAAATATTCTCCTTTGAAGTAATTATTTTATCATCCTGTATGAGTGTCGTAATATCATTCGTATTGTTCTTTCCGTTTATTGATCTAATTTTTTGAAAAACTTCACTTGTTGTGGTATTACTATTAATGGACATAACGAAATTTTGCCAACTCTCTTTTTTATGGAATTTAATAAGCCTTCTTGTTTCATATTTTATTTTAATAAAATTTTTATAATCAGTGAAATTCATAGTTTTCTTGTATTTTCTAAAAAGTTTTTCTCTTTTTTTGATTGCATATTTTATTTTGGCATTCCACCAAGGAACACATCGTTTCATTTCCTTATTACTGTTTGTTGGAATATTGATTTCAGCCGTTTCTATTATATTTTTGGTTAGATGTGACACATAACTATTGATTGTAGATTCATTTAATTCAGAATTCGGATAAGTAAGTTTTAATTTTTCCTGATATTCCTTCCAGTTTGCCTTTTTAATCAACCATTTTCTTCTTTGAGACGAAGTAGAGTTTAATAAAACTGCAGAAATAACAATCGGATAGTGGTCACTATTAAAAAGGTTTTCTTCTATAGTCCAGTTAAAGTAATTTTGAATTATAGGTGTACAAATAGATAAGTCAATACAGCTATGAGTTTTGTGAGAGAAGCTAAAAAAAGTTGGATTTCCATTATTCATTAGTATAAGGTCAAGGTCATCTATAATCTCTTCTATCATTTTTCCTCTCCTGTCAATTTTTTGTGAACCCCATAAATAATTATGGCAGTTGAAGTCTCCAACCAACAAGAAGGGACAATCGAAGTGTTGAAAAATATTAACTAAATCTGCTTTATTTATATTAACATTATTTTCTAAGTAGATGTTGCATAAAATGAACTTTATTGGAAAAAATATTTTGACTGCTACTACTTGAATGTTAGAATTTATAACTATTTCTTCGGATTTATATAAAGTGTGTACATATATGGCTACTCCTCCATGGGCAACCGTATTTGATAGTACATTTTTGTAATAAACTTCATAATTCTTTTTGTTAGGCACATGGTTTTTGTTAAATTTTGTTTCTTGTATACCTATTGCAAAAGGGTTGTATTTCTTAATCAGTAATTCAAAATCTTCGTAATGACTATAAAGGCCATCGGCATTCCACTGTATTATATTATATAAAACAGACATTTATTCAAAATTATCTACCATGTCAAGATCCCCAATGCTGCTAGTGGTGCTCGAGTCATCTTTCTCATCAGTTTTTGGTTTTTTGTTCTTACTTATTTGTTTAATTTCTCGTTTTTGTTTTTTTGAAAGATTTTTTGGTAAAATTATATTGCCATTTTCTAATGTTATAGATTTGGTAATATTCGCACTTGGGTTAATTGGCTGAATAATTGGCTGAATAATTGGCTTGTTTTCTATTTTATTTTCATGTTCATTTTTTTTCATGTCATCCCCAAAAACAATTTTCGATTTGTCAGAGATTTTATCTTCATCTGTTATTTTGTTGTTACACGAACATTTACATCGACATACCTGCTTTTGATTATTAAGTATTTCAGAAAGTGGTCTTACGAATGGAAAACGCATATTATATCTCCTGATTGCTTCCTTCATGTCTACGTTCTCTTTTATTTTAATAGTTTTGATTTCCTTTTCTTTCAGGAATCGAGGGCATTTCTTGTAAAATGCATTGTAAGAATCCTTACAATTTACACATTTTTCAGGTTTAGCACATTTTTCATTATCTATCAAATGGTACAGTTCACCACAATTCGAGCACATTTTTTCTTTTTTACAATTTTCAGTTAAGTGGTTGAAGTTTAAACATTTCATACACCTAAGCGGTAGAGGTATAAAAGGCCTGACACTATATCTTTGATAACCAATAAATATTTCATTTGGCAGCTTCGTTACCGAAAATTTAACACAATAAAGTCCTGTTTCAATAAAAGCATTATCAGTTTTCCTTTTAAATCTTTTAATTTCAATTATTTTCTGATCCTTCATTTCATTTAGGAATTCCTCGTCTGATACATATTGAAGATCGGGACTATAGAAAACACCTTTTACTTCATTTAAGGTTTTATGTTCCTCCACTAGTACATTTACTTCAGGACTTAATTTCACTAGTTTTATTAGCTTACCTGCTTGTACGACATTTTTAGTTTTTACTAGAACAGTACCGTCTCTTATCTTTGTACAGCTAAGTACATCACCAGCAATATTCTGTATTACTTTTTTAAGTAAAAAAGGCGACACCGACGACATATTTTTATTTTCATCATTTCTCTTGATTGTTAAAAATTTTTCGCCTGGTGTAAAATTTACCAATTTTTTGATTCATCAAGTCTTATATATGGGTCCATTAATTTACTAATATGTGCCACACCACCAACAGGTGGAGGGCTATCGCCCGACATTATGTACTTAGAGTTTTTTTTTTTTAAATAACTTTCAAATCAATAATATAAAGAATTTAATTGAAATATAAAAATAAATCAAACACAATTCAAAATAACGGCAAACTATGTTAGGTATAAAAGACTATAAACTATGCAGGTATAAAAGTATAATACATGATTTTACGTTTTGATTTTGCTTTCTTTTCTTTTTTTTCTTTTTTATTTCTTATCAGTTTTATGATTTATAAAACAAAGGCACTTCTTTCCTCTTTGAGGAATATCACCAGACTGACAACTTTTATTTGATGATCACTCTGCTTGCAGAAATATTCGATTGCATTATAATTTGAAAAATTTTTTTCAAAAGAATTTTAAGAACTGAATCATAGATAACATAGATATAGGAGCATAAAACTCCATACAAATTTATTATTTATCATAACCAAACAATCATTAAAAACCATTTATTCTAGTGTGGCATTTTTCAATGTGTATGATGTAAGACATCTAGTGTACATACATCTGGTGTAGATGTAGGATAATGACCTTTTTTTAAAATGTCATGTGGTGATGACACGATTTCTGCAAATGACAATTTGCTGCAAAGTTGACACTGACATTACATGACTTTAATTATTTGACTTTTGAAAAAATGTCATTGCAAAACGCCATTTAGCATTCTTAAATTTAAATATGATTAACCTGTACAAAAATCACGTAAATTAATATTTTTATATATATCTATAAAGGAAGAATCATCACTAAAGCTGAATTCATCAGTTCGTCAGGTAAACGACGAGCGGATGTATTGTACATGAAAATTTGGATTTTTGACATTCTTTTTATTTTTAGTACAGCTTTTTTTGTTAAAGCAACTTCAACTTTAACAAAAAAATAATCAGCTTTTTTCAGACGAGTCAATGAACAATCAAGAGAAAAAATAGTTCGACTTTAAATGGCTCAACTCGAAAACGACGAATCCAACTTTAATCAGCTTCATCTGCATTTTCAGTCAAATCAGATTCGCCATTTTCAGTCAAATTTCAATACTCTTGCACTTCACTCATTTTCACAATTACTTTTTTGGAGATGCATAAATAACATAATAATAGCCACAATTTTGACATATATGACATTCTAATTAAAATTATGCCTTTTGGACCTGATCTTCTATATCACAATTTTACTGGGAAGGAAGTGAATAACTATCATATACATACTTGTATAATGTAATTTTCGAGTGAGAAGAATTAATCTATTGCCTACCTTTTTTTTTTAAGTTGTATACAAAAGTTTTTCACTTTTTTTTAAAGTGAAGCGCTAAGTCGATAATGTGAGAAAAAATGCAAAAATGCAATATAAAATACTTACAATTCTGATTTGAAAGTGAATAAAAAGTGAGTAAAAAAGCGAGATACCCTGATCAAGCTGTTTTGCCTAACTTGCAGGGTAGAGTTTTTAAATTGATGACAGATATCACATGATCATTATGTGACATTTTGAAAAAAAGGCCAATGTAATAGTCACTGTCTTGGTAAGTACAAAGCCACCGCATTAAAAAAATTTACCGGACTGCTTCTATCGGATCAACTTCGATAATGTTAGTATATTTTTTCTCAATTTATTTTTTACATGGATAAGTGTATACAATTATTTTAAAAATATACGTTTTATAATATGGAAAACTTATAAGGCTTTATCATAAAGTTTCACGTTTAAAATTTGATTTAAGAAAAAAAATATTCGCCAACATCTAACCAAAACTATTTTGTTTTCCGGTCAATAATTTAATGTAATACACTTAAGCAATAATATACACAAATATCATGTTAGATTTGATTGGTAGTATGTTTAAAATAAAAATATGTATATGTATATAGATGGTTAAAAAATAATATTTTTTTATTAAAAAAATAACTCTCATAAATTTCTAGAATATTCATATTTCCTAACAATATTTTGAAATCGTTTCTGGCAATAGTTTTTACTACATGTAAAACAATACTTTTTACTAAATAAAGACAAAAAAGTAACATGTTTTATTTTGGCTTCAAAAATATTATTTGTCAGCTATTCATGTATTATTAGATCCATGTATAGAACCTTGTTTAAAAAACGTTTCCATGAAGAAAACATCTTATGCTGAAATTTTATATTGCTGAAGACTCGCAATTATCATCAAAGTATATCTATAATAAGTAGTTCGACTCGTTCCATTTCGTTAGTTTTCGTTTGCATTTTGCTTCCAAATTCTTAAAAAGTTGTGTGGGCAAGAAAGAAATAAAATATTGTAAACAAAAGAGTGTATGAAAAACATTGAACTGAAATAAAATTAAATTAAGGTAGGAAAAAAATTTGTTATTTTGTATTTTGATAATACCAAAATTTATTTTTCATTTTATTAAAGTTAGGTTAAAAATTCGAATCTATGAAAGCAAAAGAGTTTGAAATTTCATGTATGAATGCATTTACCTGGTAAAGTAGATACACAGTATCAGGCAGTGACATAGAAATAAAGTAATTTATAAAGAAAAGACAGGTGTATGCATACTGATTAATATTTTATGCAATATTATCATTACCGATTATCAATATTGAAATAAAAATTAAAAATTTAAAGATAATTTATTTATTTTATTTATTAATAATTATTAATTACAAAAGCTTAACACTAAAAGTTTAAAATATTTTCAAAAGTACATATTTACCTCTCCACATCTTTTGGCAACAAGTGAAATTTTCACAAAATTACATCGAAAACGCTTCAAATAATTTTTACCCATTATTATAAAATAAATATTTTTTTTCACAACTATTTAAACATTTTATTAATGTTATACGTCTTTTTAAAATTTATTTTTATAATTTTTCAAAATTATATTATATAAATTATAATAATTTTTTTAAACACTTTTTTTAGGCTTCGCTTTTGTAATATGAATACACCTTTTTTACCACCTTGTACTGGAATAAGTTACAAAATTAAAACTCCCACTTTTAAAATTCTTAAAATTTTTTCCTATACTTTATATAGGGCAAAATAAATAACTCTCCCGCTTTTAAAAATACATTTTAAAAAAACAGGTGGACATCTATTGCGTACTCTTTCCCTCTCTCAAAAATTCTTATGTGTAAAAAAATGAAAATAAGAAGGTATATTGCTTAACTCTTTTAGCTAATGGAATTTTTTGTATACAAATATTGATGAGTGTTTGCATTAGTGTGATGTAAACGGAGAGTCGAACTACTTATTAATAGATATACTCGTAGTTTGGTTATCATTTTCAATGTAAATTGTAAAGTTTTATAATCTTTTTTATGTACCCGCGAAGTTTTGAAAGCGGGTAAAATGAATGATAAAAAAGATCTACATATCTACACATGTAAATTTATTGAAAATTGTTTTGAAAATGATTCGATAAAATCGTACAAAAAGTCTTTCCAAAGCTAAAAAATCTAAAAAATATGTACACTAGTTAATTTATAATTATAAAAATAAATTTATATTAATAACATATGTTATTAAAAATAAATATACCCTTGCAATATGTTGTATATTCCTATCATTTATTTTATTTTTTCTTCTATTAATTCATTACAATATTCTGTTCCGAACTTGTTGTTCTTAAAATTAAAAAAAATTGCGAACAAATTTTCAAAATTTGAGTCGAGATCAATTTTAAACAAATAATCCCAACTCAATCAATTTTAACCCTTTGTTGACAGTTCTGTCCACCGAGGCCTATATTACAATGGAACAAACTTTGTACGAGCATACAACCAGTTAAAAACTAACGTCAATTCAATGGCGTTTTATTCGTCCACGCACTCCCCATTTCGGTGGGCTGAGAGAAGGTGGAGTAAAATCGGTAAAACTGAAACACACACTTGAAGAACTAGGAACCCTTCTAATAAAAGCCAGAATTGATTTAAATTGCCGTAGACTTACACCATTTACAAGAAACGTAGATGATATAGTGGCGTTAACACCAGTGCTTTTTTGGTAAGTTCAAAACTATCCAATGTACCTGCCAAAACATAATGAATATGCAACAAAATCGGCTTCGGCGATGGGAATTTGTGTAACAAATAAAAGTGGCAACAACAAAAATATAATTCACACACACATTCAATATAGTCACACTTAAAACAAAAAACGGAGAAATTAAACGCCCGATTACGTCGCTTGTACTTCTACCCGTGAAAAACTCCAAATAATGAACCTAGATTATTATCAAGTCATGATACAGCTGAAGTCGAGCGAATGCCTTTATCAGAATCCAGCCTTACTCTACCATATAAAAACCCAGAAAGCAAAAATCGCAACTCTACACCACAACTTACATTATGAAGTAATGTCGCTGTAACATCTGTTCAGAACAGTGAAGCTAACAATAACAAAACATCTAAAAAACGCTCGACCTTACATAAGTTATCACAAGTAAGTAAACTAAGCAAGTTAACCCAACTTCGATTCCTATAAGGCCGCCAACAGAAGAACTAATTAAACATCAAAAAATCTACAAACAGAAGAAGGCTAATTCACCGATGAAAATAATTTTTTCACTTTTGCTCGCATCGATAATCCTACCTAAGATTTCATTCCTATACTCCGTCACTCCGTTTAAGGACAATCCGGGAGTGTACTTTGAAGGCTTAGGAGAAGCACACTTCATTGATGCAGAGTGGCAGTTCGTCGTCTATTATGACTTGACTTATTATTATCAAAATTTTAGAGATCTTTTAACGAATTGCTTATCTTTGTTTAAAACAGTCAATGCCAGGTACTAAATCAACTTATTTCTGAACAATCTTAGATGCTGTGACATCAACACATCAAGGACTTAACCATCACATTAAAATATCTCCAAAAGTTTTAAGAAAACCAAAATTCCGTCGCTACAAGCAGAATTGTATCAAATTTTCCACATAATTCCAATACCAACACTTCATGAGAATGATTTTGTAGTTATCAACCCATCATCGAAATACATTAAAATTAATTTAGCTCGAGACTCATATTATCCAATTTATGAAACTGAGTTTAAAAATTGCTTATTCTTTAACGTCGACCAATTTTATTGCCGGAAGTTGCATCCTATATACAACGAAAAATCCGAGGTTGCTCAATGTGATATTCAACTACTCAATCACGAGACAGAATTATTTGAGAGTTGTATTATTTAAAAATGAATTTGCAGCAAGTATGAATTCATATGAAAACCGCCAATAATTAGATTTACGTTATGGACAAAAAAAAAAGCGTTCAACTTAATTTGTAACAACAATATAGTCAGTTTAACATCAGAACAAGCATCTTATAATTTCACAATTGCCATTCAAAATAAAAAATAATGACGATTTCTTCTCACGATGCTATTGCCAGTCAAGTCGAATACGTATCACCATGTTCGTAAGCTGTACAGCAATTTACCACAACATGAATTAGACCAAATAAATCTGAAAAGTATTCAGGAAATGTCAGTAAGTTTGAAGAAAAACTACACAATTAAACACAAAAGATGTTTACTAGTTAATGTTCACAATGTTGTGCACTATGTAAATAGCACCATCATCTATGATTCATTATCATAAAATGAAAAGCTTGACAAGAAATTCCACAGCCTCAATCTCCAGCTCGTAATCGTTCATCAATGGCAGTTCAAGACTTCTTGCTTGAAAGGGAGAATATTGTGTAACAACAATTATTCTGAATTCTATATTTTTTATTATTAATTTCCTATTTACTTAAATTACCAAAATTGCTAAATCAGATGTATCTGCAAATATTATAGTTAGTTAATGTAAATATTTTACATAACTATCTCACACTATTTTAGTAGGAGCCAAATTATATATTTTTTGCTTGTTAATTATACTTTAAGTAAATTTAAAATCGATATGATACGTAAGTTAACATGAGAAAATTATGATGTTTATAAACGCATAAAACTGCTTAGTAGTCTATTCTTATAATAAATTTTAAGCAGTATAATTTTTGTATAAATAGGTTATAGTTTTAATAAATAAATTAATTAACTTCAAACCAAGCCACAAAGAGTTTTTCACTTAAACTATTTAACACATTCGATTATACAATATTTTTAGTGATGGGAGCATCTTTAAGTCCGCCAGAATTGAAATCAGTAAAGTAATACTTTCTGTTATACTTCTTAGCACCTAGAGATTTAGATTCTGCTATCAAAATTCCTGCATTATATTCAGAAAACTATTGCCTGAAACAATCCAATAATGTCCTACCAACAACACCATTGTTCCTTGTCAAAGCCGATCATCGCCATAGTCAATATAGAATACATTATTATACATTAGGAAATTTTATAAAATAAAATTTAAAAAAAAATTTCAATGGACGGCCTTATCCATTTTTACACGGATGGACCCAAACTTGACTCTTGCTTGGTAGGTGGGGGATTTTACTCTGAAAAATAGAAAGTTGAACTCCCTTTGCGTTCGGCAGATCATTGTAGTGTTTTTGAAGCAGAGGTCATCATTTATCATTTATCGTAATATAATTTAACGTGACAAGGAAATTGTGGCCAAAATTAGAATCGCGTCGCACAAGGGATCTGATATTTCTCCGGCGAGAAGACATTGGCGCGATGTTTCGGGTTTTAACTGGATACTGTTTGATTGGCGATCATGTCGGGAAGAGGAAACGGTATCACAACTACTATGTCCGTGTCGAGCGTTATCGAGTGCCAGACCGAGATTTCTTGAGTCTTACTTTTTTCAGCTGTCTACGGAGGTAGCGAATGTGTTCTTGGCCGAACGTTTATTTTAATGGAGGTGAAAGAAGACCGATTCATCCCCGAAAGGGCAAGTTTCAAAACTCCGCCCAAATGCCGAATTCAAAAATCTTTACATATTTCTGCTTCAGGTCTCCTCTGAAATTGATTGCACATATTATTATATTTTTCATATTATTATATTTTCGCGCTCATTCCGGTGTTCCTCAAGGAAGTCGTCTAGGCCCTATTCTTTTCAATGTCTTTATTTCTGACCTCTCTCATTGTCTATCGGGTATTTCTCATCTAACCTACGCTGATGATTTAAAAATGTACCACGTTATAAATGATATATCTGATACTAACTACCTACAAACGAAATTGGCGCTTCTTGATAACTGGTGCAGTGCTAATAATTAGACCTTAATGTTAAAAAATGTTATATTATCAGCTTTTCACGGAAGCGTTCAATCGTTTGCCAAAATTATTCTCTTCAAAATTCCACCTTAGAACGCGTCGACCACATAACAGACTTAGGTATCATTCTAGATAGCAAATTAAATTTTAATGCGCATTATGATTATATGATTTCCAAAGCAAACAAAATGCTGGGATTCATAAAGCGTAGAGCCAGAGAATTTAACAATATCTGTGTTACAAAATCACTTTATTGTTCTCTGGTTCGCTCTATTTTAGAATACGGCAGTATTATTTGGGATCCCGCTTTTGTAACACATAGTAATAGAATTGAATCCGTCCAAAAACAATTTCTCCTTTTTGCTTTAAGAAATCTTTACGATCCACATGACTTTCACAGTATCCCTTCCTACAAAGTTAGGCTGCAGTCCCTTAATATGATTAGCCTTGAATCTCGCCGTTCTATGCTTTCTTGTGTAGAATAAGTTTTTTTGTAAATTAATATAAATTATGTTAGCACCTTGTTTGGTGTAAATAAGTAAAATAAAATAAAATAAAATAATTTTTTGAGTGAGATTCTGTCACCCAGAGATTGAATTCAAAAATTTCCACTCATTTGTAGTTGAAGTATTTTTCCGGGTCGATTCCACTTGTTTTTATTCTTATTTTCATGCGTCTCATTTTCTGTCTCCATCTATCATTTTCTGAACAAAAATGCCAAGAATTTTTTAACAATACTCAACTTGACTAAATTTATGAGTATTCAATTTTCGCTTTTTAGGACTTATTTTGGAACCGGGACAATATCGGAATAGATTTTTATAGGGATCCCCAAATAAAATTTGTACAGTATGCCAAAACCTTTTCAACAGTGGCTCATTTGACCATACTTACAAACTTTCATTTTTCGCCTTCTGAGAATCTATTTCGGAGCATGCCGAGACTTTTGCAACAGTACCTAACTCAACAATCTACAATATCCGCTTCTTAGGACCTATTTCAGAGCTTGGACCCTAACAGCATCGATTTTCTGGGGGCTACTCTAACAGGATCGATCTTCAAAGAGTGTTTTCACGCAAAACCGAAATTTTTTCAGCGTGTAACACACCTTACAATTTTTATGTATTTTCGCCTTTTGATACATACATATTTCGGGGCCTGGACTCTAACAGGGTCAATTTTCAAGGAGTTCCTCAAGCAGAATTTGTAGAGTATGCGGAGAAGAAACTAAAGAAAATGTCGAAAAGTATTTGCAAAAATTCTACAATACATATTTGCTCGAGAAGTCTCGTACGTTTAAGTCTCCTAACAAAGTTTTGATTGTCAACCAATCGAGCCGCCTTGATGTTGACATGATTGGATAAACGTATTTTATGATTGGCTGCTTGCTTTTTA